TTGACAGTTGGAGATTCAGTGATGGTAATACTATTGAATGCCAAGGGGTGATGGTTAGATTTTCCCTTTAATGGAGATGTTCGTAGCCAGGCATTTGCATGAATGTTACTTGCCACTTGTCAGCCCATGCCTGGATATTATCCAGATCTTGTTGCATTTGGACTTGGATTGCTTCAGTATCTGAGGAGTTGCAACCAGTGCTGAACATTGTGCAATCATTGCCAAACATTCCCACTTCTGACCTTATGATGGAGGGAAGGTCATTGATGAAGTTAACTGAAGATGGTTGTGTCTGGGACCCTACCCTGAGGAACTCCTGCAGAGATGTTCCAGAACCTGAAATGACTGACCTCCAAACACAACCATCTTCGAATGTGTCAAGTACGATTCTAACCACTAGAGAATTTGGCCCTGGATTCCCATTGATTCCAGTTTTGCCAGGTTCTGTGATGCCACACTCAGTCAAACGCAGTCTTTGATGTCAAGGGCTGTCACTCTCCCCTCATCTCTGGAATTCAGCTCTTTCATTTGTGTTTGAACCAAGGCTGTAATGAGGTCAGGAGCTGCGTGGTCCTGGCGGTACCTAAACCGCATTTATCATGTATTGAGAGGAATAGAACATAAAAATAAGAATGTTGTGCTTTAGTATGAAGGTGCTGGTGTTGGGTTGGGGTAGACAAGGTCAGAAGTCACACTACACCAGGTTTATTTGAAATTACAAGCTTTCAGAGTGCTGCTCCTTCATCAGGGGAAGTATAGAGAAGCACCACAGGGAGAGCAAAAGACAGTAAAGTGTGTGTGGAGTGTTGACAGGCATTATAACAAGTCTCTGCAGGTGATCAAAAGCATCAGATGATGTGAGTAAAGTGTCAACAGCTGAATGGCAAGTGAAGGGATGACCTAGATCCAATTAATTGGGGCAGACAAATAATTAACACAAATTAAAAATAACATGGTACTGGAGTTAGACCAAAGTTAGACCCTTGGCATGTGACTCTTATACCTATCATGTTATTCTAGCCATTTAGTTTGTCTCCAGCACCATGTTATTTTTAATTTTTTGTAATGATCTCTCAGCCTCAATTGCTCAGAAGTCATCCCTTCACTTATTACTCAGCTGTTAACACTACCCACACTGTCTGACCTTTTCGATCACCTGCAGACTTGTTATTCACCCTGTCGACACTCCACTCACACCATTTGTACTATCTTTTGATCTTTCTGCCTATAAAGTCTGTGCCTGTGTGCTTCCCTTCTTTACTTCACCTAATGAAGGAGAAGCTCTCCAAAAGTTTGTGATTTCAAATATTTCTATAGGGCATTGGTGAGACCAGACCTTGAATAGTGTCTGCAGTTGAGATGTCCTTTATTGAAGGGTGTAAATGTATTGGATGCAGTTCAGTGGAGGTTTACTAGACTGCTACTTGGTCTGAGAGGGTTGTCTTATGCAGAAAGGTTGGACAGACTGAACAGTCTTAACAAGGTGGACGTAGCAGAATGTTTATTCTGGGGTGTGTCCAGAACTAGTGGATACTGTTCAAAGACATTGGTCACTTTTTTGGTCAAGGATGAAGGGACTTTTTTTGCTCTGACCATTGCCTCAGGAGATGGGGTCATTGAATATTTTTAAGGTGGAAATAGATAGATCTTGTTAGGCAAGGAAATTAAATGTTGTCAAGGATAGATGACCAACTGGAATTTGGAACACAGATCAGCGACAATCTTATTGAATGGAAGCGCAGGCTTGAACAGCCTAATGGCTTATTTCTGCTCCTAATTTGTACGTTCCTAACTTAGAATCTCTGTGGCTTGAGGTCTTGCTGCAGCAGATCACACTCATCTATACAGTGCCACTTCTCCCCTTAAAAGCATAGTGACAATGTTACTGGTCTAGTTGTCCAGAATATCAGGCTACTATTCTGGGGACATGTTCAAAACCCACTATGGCACATGGTGAAATTTAAATTCAATAAAATCTGAAGTTAGAAGCTCATCTAATTGTAACGACGTGTCGACTGTTAAAAATCCCTCTGGTTCATTAATATCCTCTCAATATCCCTCGCAAGGGAAATTTGCCATTTTTCATGGTCTGGCTACATGTGACACCAGACCAACCCACAGCAAGGTGGTCGACTCTTGCTGCCTGCTGGGCAATTAGGGTGGATAATAAACGCTGGCTTAGCCAGCGACACTAACATCCCATGAATGAATTCCAGGGATTATATTAAGTGGCTACAGCAATGATTACAAAATGTCTGACTCTAGCCAATATTGTGAGAAACATTTAAGGATTTTTAGATATTTAAATGAAATTGTATTTTAATTTTCAAAACCACAAAATCATACATTAACTGTAAAATTTAACCACCTAACATGCTTTGATTAATACATGACCAAAATAAATCTACAGACAAGAAGCAGCAAAAAACAACAGTTGAACTGAATTCCCATCCTTTCTATGTATAGTGCAATTGCTCTTAAGGAAAACCAATATGAGAATCAAGTAAGTAATCAATACACACTGTACCTTAAGTTTGTCTAAATTGCAGTTAATATTGTATACATAGAAAACCATTTTCCCTAAAAACAAAGCAGACAAAACCCCAGTTTATTGCAGAACTGTTAACACCTGTCACACTGTAGGAACCAACCCAGTTATGATTGGTTCCAGAGAAGTCCTGGGCTTAAGCAATCTGCCACATTTGTGAGCCATGATATCAGTGGAACACCATCATCTTTCAGTTTTACATATAGAAAGAACTCGGAACTGCACCAGAGTGGATGATTAGGAAGGATTTCTGATGTGTGTAGGATGTTATTTGAAGAATGAAGAGAATCTCATCACACAGACAAATTAACTTCATTATTCTGTATCCTTCAATTTAAACTAAAAGATGTCAAAGTTGTGCCAATTTCAAAGATGTAAGAGTTGAGTTGGGTTTCTCCAAATCTTGCTCGTAAACTAGATCGGGAAATATCATGCGGAGTACTGAGCATATTTAAAGAAGAATCTTTGATAAATGTGTGAGAAGAACTCAATTAAAAAACACTGAGTAAGGAAGACTCAGAAATCAGCAGCAAAACCACCAAAATGTCAGTTACTGAGCCTACTAGCCAAAACATAGCAATGAAAATTGTACTCCACCGGCTATTTCATCATGTGCTACATCGTCACTGATGTGAACAAAATGTTTCACCAGTTTCTGAACTGCCAAGAAGCACAGTTGTCAAGGTGAGTTTGTGTGATCAGAATGAATTATGACTGTTTCCATCATATTACAAAAAAATTGCAGCTCTTACATCTTTGTACAATCTTGTATAACATAATTTATGAACATATTCGAGCATGTGCTAACAATAAAGCGATCATGATTGGACAAACTAAACTGGCGCCTGAAAGATGAAATATAAACAGGTTTGAGTAATGGACCAGCAGAAGTCAACAACACAAAAAGAACTTGCACTCATAATAATGTAACTGTAACAAATTATCCCAGCTGATTCATTTAAAGAAGCATGAATATGAGCAAAAATAGACCACGGGCTGATTGTATTGTCAAAAGGATATGTTCTGAGGAAGCTTTTAAAGTGGGAATAAAAACCTTACGAAGTTTAAAGGAAATATTCTGGCTTTCCTTACAAATAGAGGTACAAAACTAAGGAAGTCATGCTGAACCCTCATAAAACACTGATTCAACCTCAACAGGGCTATTCTACTGGTCTTTCCTTGGACACCATATTGCACCATTCAGACATTAGAATAGGGTGAATAGAATGAAGAAACTAGGGCCATTTTTGTTAGAAAAGGTTGAAAAGAGATTTGAAACATTTTCAAAATCACGAAGAATCTGACTGAATAGATAGGAAGAATAATGGGATGGAAAGAATGTTAAAGAGGTCAACACTTAGCAATTACTGTACCTGTAAATGTACTGAATTATAATGCACTTGATGAGTGCCAACAGTGGGTTTCCATTGACAGAAGTGTATAGAATCAGAAGGCACAATTTTGTGTGAATTGCAAAATAGTCAAATGCTAGATGAGGTAAAACATGTTTCATGCAGCATGTGGTTTGGATCTGCAATGCACTGAAGGGTGGACACAGAGTCAATTGTTGCTATCAAAGAGGAATTGGATAATTATCTGGAAATGAAAATCATGGAGCTACTGGCTAAGGGTGCATACACTGAGTTGTTCTTACACACACACAATGACACAATATGCTAAGTGGTCTCTTGGATGTGATTGTTAGATGATTCTATAGTGGAGCCAAAACAGTTGGAGACATGGCCACGAAAAGTAATGGCAAATGGTAGGATATACATGGAAGAATCAGAGGAAGGTAGATTACAGGCTGAAAAAAAAGCTGCAGGTCTAGGAAGGGATGAGATGATAGATGATTTATAAAACAAAATACAAGTTTTATTAATATACTGCATTGAATACAAAGATGCAATGAAGATTGGAGAAAGGTAATAGATATGTAGGGCCTAATGGAGGACAATATATAGGTAGAAGTGTTTGGGTATATTGGAGTTTGTGTACCAGCAGCTAGCAATACCAATAAAGAATTACAGCTTCAGGTAACATTATGTCAGTGAGTTATGCAGCAAGGAGAGTCAGCTGACTGATCTGGAGTATGCAAGTATGGAAAACATTTTGTAGAGCACCAGGATGGATGGAGGTTGGAGACCCATTGGAGAGCAGAACTGAGAAATGTAGGGGAATGGAAAAGTGTGTTAGAAGTTAAGACTTAACAATTAAGTTAAAAATACACTGAGAAACAGTTATGAGCCAGTCGACATTGCCATGCTGGGTCCAGTGGAGGATACTAGAATGCAGCCAAGGGGTGTCATGTGAGTATGTCCAGGAAGGAGTTGAGCTTATATAACAGCAGTGGAAGGATTTGGTAACACAATAATGCTGAATAGAGTACGGTTAACAAGGAGGTGGAAATTGCAAAAGGGAGGAGGAGAAATAAAAACAGAATAGGCTTAGGGAGATGAGGGGAAACTGCAACATAACCAATAAGCAGTCATCTGGGTCTAGGATACACATCTCTTGTACAGCTAACACTTCGTAATTGCATACAGCAACTATAGCTTTGGATAACAAACAAGATGCAAAAAAATTCACATAGCTAACACAATTCCTCAGGTACAGGCTTACAGGTACTTTCTTTAAAGAAAAGGGTGGCATATGGATCTGTGTCTGCTGCTGATAAGTCTGGTTTTTCACACTTATTTGGGGCATTAGCAATTTCAAACCACTTCAGGGTATGGTAAGCAACAGGCCCTCCATGGTTTACTGGCTTATTCAAACTCTGATATCTTTCATGTCGAAGTCTACAAAAATAGGGGAAAATAATTAGCATTGTTACAAAAATCCCTTAATCCCTCAATATTTGATGTAGAAGCAGAATCCCATTACATATTACCAAGCTACAGAAATAGTTTTATACAAGTTTTGATATTTTGTAGTTGGGATACAGAATGGTGCTGACCTCTTTTATCTAGCATTCGAACTTCTTAACAATCTGCTGCTATCTATTACTGTTATGCATTATGTTTATTCTGGGTGGTAACTTTCCATCTTTGCAATGAATACTGTTGCTTAATCTGCAGGAAATATTTATTACCAATTTAAGAACGAATACTAACTCTTTCATCCCGGTGGCAATGTTAAAAAGACTTAATACCTTATTCCTTCCAACTCCTGCTCACGGGATTATTAATAACTTAGTAATTTAAGTACCAGAAACATTTGCCAGATTTAAAAAAAATCTATGGGATATGGGCAGTGCTGGCTATGCCAACATTTATTGCCCATCTTTAATTGTCCTGGAGAAAGTGGTGGTGAGCTGCCTTTTTGAACTGCTGCAGTCCTTGTAATATAGGGACATCCACAGTTGTGTTAGGAAAGGAAGTCCAGGATTTTGACCCAGTGACATTGAAGAAACTGCAATATATTTCCAAATCAGGATGATATGTGACTTGGAGGGAAACTTGTGGGTGGTGATGCTGTCATGCATCTGCCTTACCAAACCAAGAGTGTATATGGTCCCCAGAGTGGGTTCCTAGGGTCTGTATGAGAATATATCCATGAGGAGGCCATCTGGCAGAGATTTCTGTAGTCTCCTGCAACATTCTCATTTCTGCTGGGCTAAATATTATGAATCAAGGATGCTGTAGGGGACATTTCTTGCTGTGCATTTATGAATTAAAGAGGTTGCCAAAGCCACCTTTTATTTGGACCACTAAACAAATACATATCCCTTCCATTGGCCACCAACAGCCGTGAAGGGGTCTAGATCTGCTGTAATGACTTATTTCCTTTGTTTGCAGGAGGTTATATTCGCTCACATGTTCATCAAGGCTATCCAACCTAAGTGTGAATAAGAAAAGATTGGCCACCAAGTACAGGTAGTTTGTGATCACCACAGGCAAAAAAGTGGAGTTGAGACCATGAATTTATTAAGTGGTGGCAGGGTTTGAAAGACCAAATTGTTTACTCTTGTTCCTACTTCTAATGTTCTTATATTCAAATGCTGACATCACATTTGGTGTTCTCTGCCAGCTATCTTCTCACAAACAATGCAGGATGTAACATACTTACAGTGAGATTCTTGGAAGTAAAGCTATAGGGTCATTGCAATGTTATATTACTGATCTAAAAGCTTGTTCCTGAATCTGGCATTGGATTTCTCAAACTATGAAATGTTTTAATTATTAAAATCATTATAAAATAACATAAAATTTATAAAATAATTTGCTATATATCCCAAACACTAAATTCTTTATGATATTTTCTAATCATTCAAGGCATTCACTATTAGTGAACTGAATGACTGTGGATGGATGCCAAGTGAAAGAACTGCTTTATCAACCATTGAGAGATGACTATACAAGAACATTTTAAGCACTGATATAAAACACTATCCTTGTTTAGTGCACAGTGAAAATGGAGCATTCTTATCTCTATATTAGATGAACTTGATCTACATTGGTTCAGTATTTATACAGATTTTTTATCCTGAAACAAGGGTATTTAAAGTAAATAAAGTAGGTATTGTGCACTGGTTCTTGGTGATCCCAGAAACTGTAGGAATTACCTTTTGCCAAGATTGTTCTGGAAGGTCTTCTTTCTTATTTCTTCTTTAATAGCATCATCAGAAATGATTGACTTTGGAGAACTGTACTGAAGATCCTACAGAATAGGAGACCATTCAGTCCAACACACTCATGTTAGCTATGTGAAAGATCCAACCACATTGTCCAATTTCCTTGCTCTCTCCTCATACCCTTTTACATACGTACACACATATGAAACAGCAGAAGAAGGCCATTTGACCCTTCAAGCCTGTTCAATACGATCATAAACTTTGATTTTCATGATTAACAGGAAACTATCTGTATCCACTTTAAAACGCCTCCACTGCCTTCTGAGGCAGAGAATTCCCAAATTGCACTCCCATCAGAAAACCTTTCCCCTTCATTGCTGTCTTAAAAGGGCAATCCTAATTTTAAAACAGTGGCCCCTAGTTTTGGTCAAACACACAAAAGGAGGCATTTTTCCACCTTGTCAAGGCATTCATCATTTTATATACTTAGATTAATTTGTTTGCTGTGTTATTAATGTCACCTACATTCACATGCAGAATCTCAGAATTACTATGGTACATAAGGTTGGTTTGCCAGATAAGTGTTGGCAAATGTTGTAGGTGTGACATTGATGTAGTATGTTGACTTACAGCAACATGTCCACCCCTTGGATGATCACTGCCTCTCCAAGTAGAGATTAATTCTTTAAGAATTCATTCCAATAGTTTCCCTACTACAAATGTTTGACTCACTGGCCTATAGTTTCCTGGTTTAACCATACCACCCTTCTTGAATAATAGTACTATATTAGCTATCCACCAATCCTCTAGTACCCCTCCTGCAGCCAGAGAGGATTTGAAAAGGAATATCAGAGCCACAAAATCATAGAATCCCTATAGTGAGGGAAAAGACCTTTCAGCCTATCGAGTCTGCACCAACTCTCCAAAGAGTGTCCCACCTAGACCGAAACCCCCACCCTAACCCAGCAACCCCGCATTTACCTTAGCAAATCCACCTAGCCTACACATCCATTGTCACTACATGGCAATTTCAGCATGGTCAATCCACCCAATCTGCACATCTTTGACTCCGATAATCTCCTTCGTTGCCTCCCACAGCAGCCTGGGATACATTTCACCTGGGCCTAGAGATTTATTCACTTTCAACCCAGCTAAAACCATTAACCCCTCTCTCAATGCTAATTCATTCAAGTGTGTAACAGATGCCCTGCCTGATTTCTATACCAACATTGCCCTTCTCTCCAATGAATACAAATATAAAGTATTTATTTAAAACCTTAGTTATGTCTTCCAAATCTACACACAGATTGCCACTTTGGCCTCAAAGTGACCCTGCTCTTTTCCTGGTTGTTTTCTTGCCTCTAATATACTTACAAAAATATTTTTGGAATTTCCATAAGGTTATCTGCCGATGGTTTCTTTTGCCCCAACTTCACTCTACTAATTTCTTTTTAGAGCAACCCTACACTTTCTATATTCCTCTAGGGCCTCCGCTGTTTTGAGCCTTTGGTGTCTATTATAAGCTTCCTTACCCAATGAGGATGAGAGACAATGCCTCAGGATGGTTGGCGCATTAAGACATAGGCCTGGAGTTCTGGGGGTAAAGCAGGGTGATAAAGATTTAAATAGTAGAGTTGAATGGGGACATGTGACAGATCTAGCCTGAAGGGGGCGACAGGGAGGCAAAGAAGAAAGGAATATGAAGATCACCTAGAATACCAGGGTGAGTCTACAAATGACTCTGACAGTGTAACTTCATTCCTTCCATCCTTATCCCAATCATAAATACACAGTGGAAATGAAAAATGTCTGCTTCTTTTCCCAGACTGGATGCAGTGAAGTGGTTATTCCCCGTTTGAGGGACAGGCTGTACTGGTGAGTGATACTAGGACCTTCAAAGGGATTCTGCATGAGTTAGGCACTTAAATAGTACAGGTTGAAGACATTTTAATTACAGAATTCTGCATACGGACTACACGCAAATCCTGACCACAAGCAATCACGGCCATGAACAACTTGTGATTAACCTTTATCAACCAATGACATACAAGTTTATGTTAACAACTGTGTGAAGGCTTTAAAACAAGGGCTGCTCCAACAGTCAACAAAATAAGTTGTTATGTAGCTTCATTCTAGCCACTGCAGTTATATCAGATGAGGATATAAGGTGGCAATACATTGAGCTTCTATCTCAAATGAAGTGTCGCTCATGTGGCCTCAGTATTTTTCTGTTTCCCTCCCAATGTCAAGGCCTATTCCTGACTATTTAGATAGAACACAATGTTAAAATTTTTGAGACGCATGGTAAAAATATAATGTAGATAGCAAGAATTGCGGATGCTGGAGTCAGAGACAACACAGTGTGGAGCTAGAGGAACACAGTCCTAACCCGAAACATCAACTTTCCTGCTCCTCTGATGCTGCCTGACCAGCTGTGTTCATCCAGCTCCACATTGTGTTGGCTGTGGTAAAAATATAATCCCATTTATCCCAAAAGCACTCCTTTACAGTGCTCACCCCAGAGTGAATCCTCTTCTCTATGAGCTCTATTGGCTTAATTTAACTGTTACTTCAACTTTCAGACTGCAGAATCTGACAGCCTCTTCCTGGACCCTTCGTACAACTGGGCTTAAACTTTGAGATAACAAGGTGCAGAGCTGGATGAACACAGCAGGCCAAGCAGCATCAGAGGAGCAGGAAGGCTGACGTTTCAGGCCTAGACCCTT